CTGTGTCTCTCTCTGTCAAATAAATAAATAAAATCTTAAATAAAAATAAAAAAATAAAAAAAAATAGTGAGCACTTACTACATGTCAGATTCTATGCTAAGCACTTGATGAGCATTCTCTTCATTAATGTTCACAACCACCTTATAAAACAGGATAATAACAAAAAATGAAAATAAAAAAATAAAATAAGATAATAACATCCCTATTGTATAGATAAGGAAACTCAGGCTTCCAAAGGATCTTGATCAAGATAATGTAGCCAGTGAGGGGAGGGCTGGGAGAGGAGCCCGGGGTGTCTCACTCCACAGACCTTGAGTGTTCCTCTGCCTTGTGATTTCTATGCACCATCCTTCCCTCTTCCCTAATCTCCTGCTTCTTCCTCCAGCTGCCCAAACAGACCCGGACTAGAGCCCAGGAGTCTCCGAATGGGGGCTGTCGAAGCAGCAGGTCATCGGCCCAGAGTCTGGGGCTGGGAATCCCCAGCATTCCCACTGCTGCCACAGAGAGTCAAGATGGACACAGGCACCCAGGAAAGGAAAAGGACTTGCCTCTCTGAGAACCCAAACGTCTAAGTCAGGCTCACCTTCCCTCCTTCACCTCACCCAGGAGAGCACAGGCAAGGCCACCCACCTTAGGACAACTCCTCTTTGGCAGAAGAGACTTTGGATCATTAGTTTGTGCAGCTTTCCTAGCTGCATTCACATGAGTAGGTTTTAAATATCTGAATTGTTTCTTTAAACAGCTGGCCCCACCCATTCGTTGGTACCAGGCGGGCCCCTGCCAAGGCTGAGTCTAGCTTTCATGTGGCCTGGGAGCCCAGGAGGCTGGGCGGCAGGCTGTGCTGGGTGTACCCAATTTTTGCCCAGCTGGGCCTGGTGGGGAGGCTTTTGGTGGTGTTGCTAGGCAACCTGGGTAATTGGAGAGGCCACGGATTGGGCTTCTGGGCCACAGAGATTAACAGCCTCCTTCATCACACTGCAAACCATCATTATGCCCCGTTCCAGAGGCCTGCAGCAATCTCTGTGGTTATAGACTGAAAGAGTACTTTTAGCTACAGAAATTAAGAACCAGCTTTTCAATATTATGGGTTTGTGGCTGAGGTGGTTTTCTTTTTGCTACATCTCTGAGAATACACTTGGAATAAATAAGCGAACGATTTAAAAACAAAAAAAATGCCTTCACAAACCCCCTTTTCCAAAAGTTTTTCTTATTCCTAAAGCAAAGCAAACTTGCACTCTCTGTGAGGGCAACTAAGGTAGAGACACTGCTTCCTGAGGTCTGTGCATGCCCACGACATGTTAAAAGCTTCTTCCTTGGAATCCCACACAACTGGGGCTGTGGTTCGTGGGGGGGGGGCCAGGGCCTTGGTCCTGAGCAAGGTCTCTCAGCAGAATAATTTCTTTGCATCTCTCCCACTCAACAACAATCACACTACCCCCCTTCCCAGGCTCCAGCCACTTTCACTTATACTATTTCAATGGATCCTCCCTATGAGGATGATGTCATTACTAGGCCCATTCTATAGATGAACAACTAAAGCAAAAGAGGCACCCATGATCGTATACCTACCTAGTCACACCAAAGCTGAGACCCAAACCCATTTTTCTGAGGCTAGATGGGCTCTCCACTATCCACACTGCTTCCCCCAGCGCTACCTAAGAGAGGACATATAACTTTGTACCTTATTACAATATAAGTAATAGTAATAACAATACACACAGGCATAGAGACACAAGAACTTCATCTTGTGTCTCCTACTATCCTCCACACATCATCCTTGCTGACTGTGGTCAGGCTTCCAAAGCTGCCTCATGTACACTAAGGAATATAGTCTGGAAGATTTCCCAGAGATGGACACCCTATTTAAGTAGGTTAACCAAGTCTACCACAGTACAGAGCTGAAGGAAAACACTGACCCTGAGCCATCTCTGCCTTCATTCGAGGAGTTGACTCTGTTTGACAGCATTTCGATAGTACGCTGTCAGTCCCCTAAGTAAGGAGGCAGAAGCATTGCTCTCATTAGATATTTGTAGTTATTCTTCAAAAGGGCTTTCACCGCCTCTTCTACAATGTTTCTTGAATAGTGGTCCATCGAGAGTGACCAACTGTGAGAGTTTGCACAGGACTAGGGATTTCTTGAGATGTGGGACTTGGGGTGCTAAAATCAGGACAGTCCCGGGCAAACTGAGGACAGTCACCTCTCATAGACCACCTACATCAAATGATCTAAGAAGACTGTAAAAAAATATTGACGTCTGGGCTCATGAGCCCAGCTCATCCACCAATGGCATCAGAGCCTCTGGAGCTAGGGCCTGAATACTGGTATATTTTAATGTGTAGCCCAGACTAAAAACCCCTACCCTAGAGATCTGGATTCAGAGGGTCTGGGCTGGGGTCTTGCCCAGGAATCTGCATGCCTTTTTGACAGCTCTTCAGCGGATTCGTATGTATACTGTGGTTTGATAAGCAATGAATTCTTATGTTATGTATGCATTCACTGGACAAGCATTCCCTGAACGTCTTCTATATGTTGGGCTCTGGAAACGTAAGAAAAAAACAAACAAAAAAAACACCTCCTATTCCTAGGTCCTCCCTATCCGGTGAGGAATAAAGATCTATAAATTGTCCCAGCACAGTATACTATGGTTTAGATTTATAAGTGACTCAGCACCATCAGGGTGATTATGGTTAATCAGTTCCCAGAAGCTTCATGTGACAGATTAAAGATGGAGTATATTATTTGCCATTCCTCCCACTAAGAGGTGGGGTTCGTTTCTCCTGCCCTTGAATCTGGGCTAGCCCTGTGACAGGTTTTGACCAGTAATATGTGGCAGAAGTAGTACATCCCAAGGCCAGGCCCTAAGAGATCTGCAGCCCCACTCTTGTTCTTCTTGGAAGCCTAAGACCATAAGAAGGTTGACTACTGGGGTGCCTGGCTGGCTCAGTCAGTGGAGCATGCAACTCTTCATCTTGGGGTCATGAGTTCAAGCCCCACATTGGGCGTAGAGCTTACTTTAAAAATATATAAATAAATAATAATTAAAAAAGAAGGTTGGAGGGCATGTGATGTAATGAGCACTGGGTATTATATAAGACCAATGATTACTGACCTCTACCTCTGAAACTAATAATACATGATATGTTAATTAATTGAATTTAAATTAAAAAAATAAAATTCTTGTGAAAGTCAAAAAAAAGAAAGTTGTGAAGTTGTGGAAAGAAAAAAATAAATAAAAAATTAAAAAAGGTTGATTACCCTGAAGCCACCGTGTTATGATGAAGCCCAATCTATTCGTATGGAGAGAGAGGTCATGCGGAAGACCATGGGGGTGCCAGACCTATGCATAAGTAAGGCCTTTTTTTTCTTCTAAGATTTATTTATTTGAGAGAGAGAAACAATGTGTGCATGTGGGAGTAGGGGGAGGGGCAGAGGGAGAGGAGAGAATCTCCAAGTAGACACAGAGCTCACTCTAAAGACCCTCACTGAGATCATGACCTGAGCTGAAACCAAGAGTCCGACACTCAACCAACTGAGCCACCCAGGCACCCCTAAGTGAAGCCTTCTTAGACCTTACAGCCCGGCTCATCCACCAACTGAAGACCGCCAAGTCGATGACCCCCAGCCAACCAACACCACACAGAGCAGAACTGCTCAGCTGGACTCTGCCCAGATTCCAGAGCAACAGAATGGCATCCCGTACCATTCTGCCTCCCATTGACATTGTTCATCTTGGTATCCCTCCATAGAGTAGACCGCTGGTGTCCTACCTGAAATATTCTCCATTTCGGTTTCTACTCCTGCCCCCCTCCAAAGCAAACAAACACAACCATAAATCAGAGTAGAGCAACTCTCTACTCAAAACCTCTCAATGGTTTCTCACTGTCTTCGAGATAAATACAGGATCCTTACCAGGGCTGGTAAGGTCCTGCATGACCTAGCTCCTGTCTTCTTTGAGGAATTTTACCACTCTCCCCGCAACATCTCTGTTCTTTCTTTTATATACAAATATATGTATCTTTTTATTGAAGTATAGTTGACATAAAATATTATGTCTCAGGTGTATAATATACGACTTGACAATTATATACATTACAAAATGCTCACCACAATAGGTGTAGTTACCATCTATCACCATACGACATCATTATAGTGCTATTGACTATATTCCCTATGCTGTACTTTTCATCCCCGTGACTTATTTATTTTATAAGTGGAAGTTTAACCCCTCAATCCCCTTCACTTATTTCGCCTATCCCCTCATGCCCCCTCTCCTCTGGCAACCATCAGTTTCTTCTCTGTATTTATGAGTCTGTTTCTGTTTTTGTTTATCTGTTTATCCATTTGCTTTGTTTTTTAGATTCCACATATAAGTGAAATCATATGGTAGTTCTCTTTCTGTCTGATTTATTTCACTTAGCATAATACCCTCTAGGTCCATCCGTGTTGTTACAAATGGCAAGATTTCATTGTATTTTATGGCAGAGTAGTATTCCATTATATATATATCACATCTTCTTTACCCATTCATCTACTGATGGACACTTAGGTTGCTTCCATATCATGGCTATTGTAAATAATGCTACAATAAACATAGGGGTGCATACATCTATTTGAATTAGTGTTTTTTGTTTTCTTCAAGTAAATACCCAGAATTAGAATTACTGGATCATATGCTATTTTCATTTTTAATTTTTTAAGGAACCTCCATATTGTTTTCCACAGTTGTTCTTCCTATCCCAAGAATACCCCAAGCTCTCTCCTGCCTCAGGGTCTTTGCACTTGCTGTTCCGTTGACCTAAACCTCTCTCCTCCATCCCTCCCACACACTCTAACATATATACACAAGGCTACATCCTTCATAACAAAGAGCACCTCCCTAGGAAGTCTCCCCTGACCCACCCCTCTGCCCACCACATATATTCTAGCACATTCCCTTGCTTATTTGCTCCCAGCATTTGTCACTATCTAAAAATATCGGATGTGTTTATTCGCTGTCTTTTCTACTAGAATATAAATTCCAGAAAAAGTAGAAAATGTGTAGTTTTTACTCCATTTGTAGGTGCTCAGTAAATGTTTGCTGAATAAAGCATCAAGAAATGAAGAAGGTAGGGTGCCTGGGTGGCTCAGTTGGTTAAGCGACTGCCTTCGGCTCAGGTCATGATC